CTCTCAAAATTAGCCATCAACTCTCAAATTCTTGTCTTAATTTCTGGGGCTTCAGGTTAGATATGAATGGCTTCCTTGGTAACTGGCCAACTCTTAGGCTCAGCTTTCTTGCCATTCACCCAAGATTAGCTTTGGAGAGGACAGAACAAGAAGGATTAAGGTTGAGACGGATGAAGAGATGATAACAAACCAGAGAAGAGAACTCTAGTAAGAGGATTCTGGGGATCCCAGAATTGTGGGACCATTATTATTGGATGGTGAGGGGTCTGATAGCTTCTGTTTGTGAAGGACTTGGGCGCCACTGGGCAGCCAGGTATACGGGATCGGAGAGCCACTGCACACATAAACATCCCTACCAGATGGAGAGCTCTTTAAAAGCGGCTTTAGAGGGGGCTATTAGCACAAGTGTGTGTCACCAGGAGCAAATCAGAGCCATCCAATCATCACGATGCTGAGTGGAGAGACTGCTCATGTCTTGTGTGCCATGGGGAATATCTGTTATGAAGATGTTCCAAGATAAGAGGACACAGGCAAGAAGACAGATGCCCCCATTGTCACCTGTCACAACATTCAGTCTCCTGATTCCATGATCCCTCTCCCCCGGGACCCATTCTGCTTTGGGCTATTCTATTGTGACTTTACTCCTCTTCCTCTGGAGGGAACTGAGCCCTCTGAAGAAGATGGCGTCTGGGGCTAGGGAGCTATTAAAGGACATATACGTCCAACGACAAGTTTATTAAAATATCCTCCCACTGGAAAGTCTAAACAGAGTCCACCAAAACCTGTAAACAGAACTGTGTTCATATGAACAAAGGATTGAAACGGTTCCAGATGACTCCTTTATCCCTGCCACAATAGCCTTTAAATGGGGCAAATCAAGTAGGGCATTGCTAAATGGGGGCATCAGGTGATGCTGGCCATGTCGTGAGAAGCCAGCGAGAAGTGAAACCCCACGGAGCTTCCACTGCCCAGACCCTCAATACTGATGTAAGCCGGGCTGCTCCAGAAACTGGTATGACATCCTGAAGGGATGACTTTTTAAAAAATCCCTTAGCCTGAGGTGCTTAGCCAGAATTAAAGCTAACATCCCTTTGTGTACCAATACCCAGGCTCTTGGTACCTCTTTCAACTTGACCTTCCAAAGTATCAGAACAAAGAAAAGAAAGCGAGGTGGGCCATTGCAGCTTGTCTCCTTCAGAAGACTCTATGGGTCTCAAAATCCTTGTCTGAGATCTAGAACACGTGCTGGTGGGACTGTGCAGGCAGGGCCTCCGAGTTCTTCTCTTGCTGCCCGGGTCAGGGAGAACTCAAAAGAAGAGAAAAACTAAGGGGGAACCTCTCTTCTCACCATGGTCCAGATTTAATCCTTGCCCCTAAGTTGGCATCAAGACTCCAGGACTTTTATGGAGCTGCTTTTATTATGATTTAAATGAGTTTCCTCTCAAAAAAGGGCTCCATCTGAGCAGACTCCACTCTTGCCTGGTCACACAGGAACCTCTACAGAAGATTGAGTCCCTGCAGCTCCCAAGGGACCATGGAGGAGTTTGGCTTATTAAGCAAGTTTTTATAAGCAGCGACTCTGAGGCAGGCACTAGAGGGTCCTGGTGTACAACAATGCACCAGATAGGGTCCCTGCTCTCAACACATGGGTGAAGAGACAGACAGTCAAATAAGTCACCACCCTACTGAGTAACAAGACATTTAATATGGAGGGAGCGGTTGGTTGAAAGATGGATTTAATTAATAATAGGGTGTTGTCTGGGTGATCAGAGAAGGTGATAGGTGAGGGAGACAGGAAGAGTGTTTTTTCCACCAGAAGAAACGGGATATGTAAATGATCTGGCGATGGGATTGTGGTATGTGTTAGCCAAACCAAGAACACATGCTGGTCAGCATGGACAGTGGAAGGCAGCCTGGGAAGGAACGGAAGGGTGGTCTCAGTGAGGTTCTCAGGGTTTTATGGAGCAGGTAAGGCAGGTTTGTAAAGAACACTGTAACTCATGTCAGTGAGCTTAGATTCAACCAAAGGAATGAGACTTTTAAAGAAGTGGGAGCGTCCAGGAGGTTTGTGTACCCTGGCACTCTTGCCCAGTGTGAGCACCCCAGCAGGACTTTATCTCTATTTCCTGGGGATGAAAAGCATCATCCTATGCAGAGCTATCAGGTCAAACACACAAGTCATCTGTGCATAACTTATAGCCAGGTGGAGACACTGCAAACATCCCTGCAACATCAGGTTGTGGGGTGCTGTGTGCAGAAGGCAAGGTCCCCCTCTATATATATGTCCCATCCTAGAGAGACTTCATGCTCAAAATCTTTGCTCACAGGGAACCATGACACATCAGTAAAACAGATGATTTTAAACTTACAATCAATACCAGGAGAAAGTACTTGAAGAAGAAAAACTTAGTCTTGATGCCCCAGGGAGCAAGTTACAAGATACTGCACTGAACTGCCAGGCACCTGCCCTTGAACTCTCTGTTGGCCTGTGCCCTCTAAGACTGGCTTGCTTTCAAATGTACTGGCCACTCCACCATTCACTCCAGGTCAAAAATCCCTTGATCCTTTGCCTGTCCAAACCCCAGCCTAAAACCTCAGATCATCACCGTCATGGTGGTTTCTCACTCCTAATAGAGGTGAGAAAGGAAACGGTCATGAGACCATTGGACGTCAGAGGTGGGAAAGAAATGTCATCCAATTTAGTAGGAGCTGAATGGGAGCAAAGTCTGTATATTACATGAAAAGGAGCTTCTAGAAAATTCCACCTGGCCACCTTATTTTGAGGTGCCACCTTCAAGGCAAAGTAGCCATATAATCACGATGATTGGCAGAATTTGCTAAGGCTAGACCATTACGTTGCCCATGTGCAAAACTTCCTGGGAGAAACCAGAAAAAAAGTCCTGTTTCCAACCCCCAGGTTTTGGCACTCCAAACTATCGGGGTTCTCTCTGTGACTCAGTTCCCCCTCAAGGCAGAAGTGGTTTCTTAAGAAAGCTCAGGTGTCCCCTCTCCAGCAAGTCTTCAAAGCAGGGCATAAAGCTGGGGGGAATAGATTTTTTTTTTATGGGAAAGCTTTTTCTAGTATGTGTAAACTACAGGACTAGCCAAAGTACCTAAATGCTCATAAATAAACTCAAAAAGTCATCAAGTATGTCCCCTCTTGAGCGGCTGAGGCCAGCATGTCTGCATAGTAATAGGAAAGTTATCTTTGAATTCAAAAGCTCAGGTCCTTCCCTGCTCTAGCACACAACATGGAAGTAAGGAAGAAGCTGCCCCAGAGTCTCAGGCTTTTTACCTCTGTCACCCATGTGTTACCAGTGACTGTGTGATAGGCCCCACATACAGGCACTTGGACACCTCAACATGATCACGCAGGCTCTGTTCAGATGGCCCACTTGCTTGTGGAAAAACAGATCTTCAGGGAAGGCTTACACCCCAGAGGGAGGCTCAGGAACCATTTAAATAGTGAATTTGGGAACCCAAGTACCCCAGAGTGAATACTCTGGAAGTGTGGTTTCCAGGGAGTGACTTCTTGATCACCCAGATTTTTCCTCCCCATAGAGATGTATGGTTAGGAAACACCCAGGTGAGGATCCCTCTTGCCCACAGTTAAACGTGGTACAACGGCTAGGAGCCAGAGGCAAATTCACTGTGACTTTTCAGCCACAGCCTGACCTAAACGTTGAAGAAAAACAGCTTTTCAGCCTAGAATTCCCTTCCCAAGGGCTAACTCCCCACAACCCCCTAAACCTCTCAGTCTTCCTAGGCCAGTCCCAAAAGAGGACTCTGAGGCATCTTCATTCCCTGATGTCCAAGGTCCTTCCAGTCAAAATCACATGCTCCCTCCCCGGTGTCCCCTGGAGTACAGGGCTATGTCTCTACCGTACCATCCATGGCTCCAGGTACCAACGCAGTGAAGGTCTCCACCATCCAACCTGGGCAGGAAGGGACTGGCGAAGTGGATGAAGTTAGGTCTCCCTGAGAGAGAGATCTGCTCTGAGCACCCCAAAGCCAAAGGTTAAGGTTGTGTAGGAAGGTGTGTGTTTTTTCTTGTCATTTACGCCTCTGATGATGGACTCACGTTGCCCGCTCTTCCCTTTCTCTTACACCTTTCCTACTAAAGGAGGAGTCCTTGCTTGGTAAGTGACGTAATCCGCAAAGACATGAGAGAATTTATTAGAAGCCACTCAGGATGCTTAGCTACCTCCTTCGAGGGAGAAGGACGCGCACAAATGCCTGTAGAGACTCTTTTGTTATTTTGTTTTGTTTTTGATTTGTTTTCAGCCAGACTATTTGACTTTACATTTATTTTTGTCCCCTCCCTCTCTTGACTTCTTTACTTGGAAATTGCTCAAACGTCAGTTTGCAACCTTGACTTTTTTTTTAAGAAAGGGAAAAAAGAAAAGAAAAAGAAAGAAACCAATTCTCATCTTTGTTTCTTTGGCCCACCTGACATTTGTTTAGGGTTTTATTCAGGCAACTTTTTCTTTAAAAAAATAAAAAAAGTTAGTTGAGGATTTGGGTTGAAATTTAAAATTTGCCTTTATCTCCTTTTGTGTTTTTAATTTTCAAGATATAATTTTTGAGGCCTGAAGCCCCTTTTCTTTTTATTCCCCTCCCCCATTCCTTTATTTTTATTATTGTTTGAAGCTAAGGGTGTCTACAGCCCTTCCCTTTCTATTGATTTGTCTCTTTTGTTTGAGTTCATTAGAGATTATGTTTTGTATAATTTCCTTTTACTTTTGTTTAATCTGAATCGCATGCCTTTTTCCCTGCATGATTCCTAAATCTTCCAGTTATTCTAGCAGGGGGTAAACAAAATACCTAGAGGTCTCCTATTTCTGTGGAATTCTATCAGGAATTTGTGCTTTTGTTTTTTGGCGTCTCTTCTCTCCCCTCTCTCTTTGCTTTCGTTACAGTGACTCATGATGGTTAACATTCTTGGTTACTTACGCACAGCCCGGAGCTCAGCAGTGTCCGACGGGTCTTTTTGCTTTCAGATCTCTGGGTCGGGGTCTGCTGCTGACCTCTTTAGCAAATCAACCAGCCCGCTCACCGCCTCCCGAGGACGCTCGCAGGAGTACGACTCAGGCAATGACACCTCCTCGCCGCCCTCCACGCAAACCAGTTCCGCCCGGTTGCGGGGCCAGGAGAAGGGGAGCCCCGGTGGATGTCTGAGCAAGAGAGGGGACCTCAACTGCGGTAATAGTTCCGATTCAGGGAACTCCTTCACCACTTCCTCCCCGCAAAACAAGGGGGCTGTTCTGGAGAACGTCTCTCCCACCTGCAGGAGCAGTGAGTCAAGGTTAGCATCTTTGGGGGTGGGAGGGTCCCCGCTTCAGCATCACTTTTTTACTGTCTCATCACAGGGCCCTACCCTTCCTAGGCATCTTCATTCGCAAAAGAAAGGACATTCCATTCAAATTTGCTTGATTAAACACACACACACACACACACACACACACACACACACACACTCGCTTCAGGTACAGCAGGACCCAGGGGTCCAAAGTGTGCTCCTGCGTCTTTATCTTTTGACTTGGACCTCAGCTCTGTTCCCGCGCTTTGTTGGCTTCATTCTCAAGCAGGCCCTCCCAGAGGTTTGCAAAGATGCTCAGCACCTGTGTCTCCAATCAGTCAACGGACTAACACCTCGGCCCTGCCCCCAGCAGAAAAATGCCTCTGCCCCACCCCCACAGAAATCTTAGCAAAATTATCAAAACAAGTACTTATTGGCTGTGCTTGGCCCCAGCTTGGGTCATTTGTCCCCTCAGAACAGTCTCTCTGGCCCAGCAGGTGCTGAGTTACAGGTTAGGGCCAGGTGTCTCTGCAGGAAAAGCTGAGTGTTGATATCAGGAGGGAAGGATAGATGGCAGGGAGCTAAGAATAGATGCCAACTTACCAAGAGTCTCAGGGAACGCCTCACATGAATTTCATTTAAGTCCCTCTTGGTTACATGCCATAGTGCTAACCAAACTAAACTGAAAACATATTCACACCAAAAAAAAAAAACTGCTTATATATGATTATAGGAGTTCATAATTTCTAGAATTTGGATGCAACCAAGTCTTTTAGGTGAATAAACTGTGGTATATCCAGGCTCTAGATTATTATTTGTCTAATAATAATAATAATAATGTCCTATCACTTTATGCAAAGGACACACAGAGTTTCAGCTACGTGAATTTATAACACATGATATATTCATGATGGATAAATGCCAGTACTCATCCAAAGCCATTGGACATGTAACACCAAGAGCAAGCCTGACAGATCTATGGGCTTGGGTGATGGCATGAGGTGCTGTCTCCTCGGTCCTAACACATGGACCACTTTGGTGAAGGATGTTGGTTGTGGGAGATGAGGTCCTGGAGGCCAGGAGACCCAAGACTGATGCTCAGTTGTGCCCGTAAATTAAAAGGGCTTTAAAATAAAATGTATCCATGGAAACACATAGCTATCACCGTAGAGTTGAGGGATGGGTCTTTTCGTTTGGCGCTGTGCTCGTTACCCGTAATTTTTCCTTCTGAACATACATCTACACATCTGTTTATAGGCCGATGACAATGCCACCATTTCGTCACCAACTGCTCTGTCACTCAAGTGATCACAGCAAACAGCAGCTGGGGAGACAGTTCGGTGCTTAACATGTTTGCCAAGCAAGCAGTGTAAATGTCAGGGGGGGCGTGACGGCCTGCCTGTAATTCTGCCCTCTGGAGGCAGAGTCAAGGGATCCCCCAGCAAGCTCCTTAGCAAGAAGAGGCTTATCAGGAAGCTCTGGATTTAACTGAGAGACCCTGCCGCAAAGAAGAGCAGGGAGAGTCGGGAGGAAGACTTTGGGCATCAGCTTGCACCTCCCCACATACACCCACATCCAGACACACATGCACACAGAATACATGCACAAACATAAAAAAGAATCTGGAAAAAAAATAAATCACATCCTAACGCTAACCACTAGACACACTTTCATAAGAGTAGCGTTTTAAATTTCCTGGCCACCAGCCATTTCGTTACCTCTCCCTCACCTTCTTGCCAGACACACCCTGTGGCAGCTCTCAGCTTGATGCTAGGAGTGAGGAAATGGCTAGGCCCCCTTTCCTGAGTTTATAATTCACTGGGAACAAGGTTGGGGGAAGTTGGCTAGCACACTCCATCCAGAAAAACACGGGGCTTTCCCCCTGCTGGGGATTCAAGCACACCTCTGTTCTATGTGGCTAAAATTGCCCATGATAGCCACACACAGATTCTTCAAGGACAGAGCGCCCCTTATCTCTAGCACAAGACCTACTCAGGCTGGACAAACATGTAGCCCAGTCTCTGGGTGGCCTGCTCTGGGACATCCCTGCCCTCAACTCATGCCCATTCTTGCTGGGAGCCAGTGCAAATGTCAGCCTCTCCAAGAGCAGACAGTGAAGTTCCCGCATGGGAGAAGAAGGCCACCACATATCTACTGACACACTAAAGTGTTGTGATTAGGGAGGATCAAGAGAAAAGGCAGCAATAATAATAACGATGATAAGTATTAGTACTAATTAATTAAAAAGCCATTAGTCTCTACTGAGCCAGATAGTACACCGCAAAAAAATGCTTCCCACGACTAGCTTTCCTCCGCTCCTATTAGTGTCTTTTTGCAATAGGCACTGTTCTAACCTTTCTGTAAGCTGATGGGAAACAGAGTCAGACTCAGACAAATGAAGCTAATAAGCAGCAACAGCAGCACTGCAGTCCAGACCTCTCTCTAAAACAAGACCCCTGCTCCAAGAGATATATAGCTGCTACTTGCTTCATTTGATATACATAGACAGCCAAATTAAATAATTTAGAGCCAGTCTTTCACTTTGGAATGTAAATGATAGTAAAATCATGGGTATTTATGTCCTGCCAGCTATGGACAAAGGGCTCAATAAATATGGCCCAAGAGAAGAGATATGAGCTGGAAGTTAAGGGCGCCACAGACACAGAGGGTAAGGAGTTGGAGAGGTGACAGGAATTGTGTGTGGGGGTATGTGTGTGCATGTGTGTGTGCGTGCGCATGTGTGCGTCTAAACAAATCCAAATGACCTTGAGCAAGTCGCTAATCCTTCCGAGCCCCCTCCATACTTCGGTCGTAACAGTAGAGCCAGACACATGTTATTGAGAAGAGCAAATGAGATGATGCTGTGGAGAGCCCAAGACACAGGCGGGATGACTTAAAATGCCACGTGACAAGCTTTGTGTGGAGGATATAGAGTCCAGGGGTCAGACGTCCTTTCCCCAATGAGCTCAGTATCCAGGGAGGAAGACACATGGTCATAAGACCAAATGAGTCATGTAGGGATGGGGGGCGGGGGGAGCTAGGCAGCGGGGCCGTGTAACACACAGGAAACCCTCAACCCAGAATGGGGGGGTCGAGAGACTGCTCTAAAGGTTTTTCAAAGAAGATGGAGTCAAGCTGAGCCAGAACCATGTGTAGAGCAATGGCTAGAGGACAAGATGAGAGAAGGCAAGTTCAGATGTCAACATGTTCTAAGGTCAGAAGACAAAGGACAGAATAGGACATTTTGTTTCGGAGGAGACAGCCTGTTAGGGTTAGGGTCAAGAGCCAGGACCATAGAGGTGAGCAAAAGCCACATCATCACGAATCTTTCAAATGTATCAATGTGACTTGAAGTTGACTCTTGGCCTAATGAATGAGCATGTGTCACGAGAACCTCTGAAGGAGTTCAGAATGTCCCTAGACAAGAGAGGATGTACAACCAAGACCCCCCTACCCTTTGTCTGATTATGAATAAGCCTCCGCCCAACTAATTTGGAGTATCTCAGTCTCTCCATCTGCAAAGTGGGCTACATCAAGGTTGCCCAAACTTAAGCTAACCACAAGTCACCTTCTTGATTCTTTTAAGCTATGTTCTCGTTGGTTTGCTTATTGCGATCACATCACTATTTCTGTGTGGAAATGTATATCCCTTGCTGAAACAAATAGAAAACACCTGTGAGAATATGGTTAAGACAGTGTATCCAACGCTGGTCAGTTATAGTTCCCTGCTCAAGGCTCTGTCCCTAGGGCTTATTCCTTTATCTTGGGGAGATTACAAAGTGTTATAGATGTGTTAACAGCCCACTAGCACCCAGCCAGGGCTTTCTCATTCATTCAATCAGAAGGACTGGACAAGGACAAGCAAAGGAGAAGGAGGACTCTCTCACCACGTGATGTTATTTAGCCTCCTGAAATGCTTTGTAGTGGACCCTGTATGTGTCCCCTCCCTAGGGGATGCTGAATTGGATTAAATATCCTTCTACTTGTGAGGTCTTTTCTATCTCAGCCTTTCTAAATTCTGTCACCTGGCAGTGCTTCCCAGAAAATGGGGAGGTGGAAATAGAAACTGAGGATATTCTCTCTGAGTCAAAGGTGGTAGAGGGAGCCTCAGGTCCAGGTACCCCCAGAGCAAGGGCAGCTGGGTACTGACAGATGTTCTCTATCCTGCAGAGGATTTCAGTCTCCGTGTCTACAGTGTGCTGAGGTGAAGAAGTCTAATTTGGTCCCATCCACAGCCCGGAGTTCCCCCATCAAAGAGTGCTCCCGTAGCTCCTCCTACACCAGCACTCGATCTTCCAGCCCCTCTTCCCAGTCCCCAAACCACAGAGCCTCCCCCAGGTACACCCGGAGCCGATCCACCTCTTCTGAAAAAAGGTGAGTACATCTTTGATGTTTCATCTGCTGTATGTCCCTCTTTGGCAGGGAGTTTTGGTAACTAGAGATGCCCATTTCCCTTATGGGGAAGAGGAGTAAGGCTTGACTTTGAATAACCTGCTCCAGCAGTACTCCTGACAGCCTTGGGAGGACAGTCAACATCTCTGAGCTCCTGTTTGCTTGTGTGAAAGATAATAAGAAGGCATGACTCAGTGGCCCAATGGCTCGTTCCTGGGGTGAAGGCACTTAGAACACGAGGAACATTCATTGTTATTGTTTTTGTTGGCATGGGGCTGAGATGAGTATCAATTAACTTCTACATAAAAAAGTAACCAACGTCATCCTTCACATAAAATGTATTTACTTAGTTGCTATAACTCTGTGTATTAGCAATATATGCTGGCTTCAGCAGGTTGGTTCTCCTCAGCCCCTTCATGTGTTTTTGACCAGATAGTGAGTTGGCTGGGGGCTGGGGATGGAAATTCATCCAGTGATTAGTCGTCTCTGTTCTGTGTTGTCTCTCTGCTTATACACATGGTAATGACAAGAGAGAGAGAGAGAGAACACTAATGTTCAAGGTTTCTTACTTCTCAGCTTGAATTCCATTCCATCTCCTCTGCTGTTCTATGAGCCCTAGTAAGTCACAAGACCCAGTCTGAAGATTATCCCTTAGTGGGAGGAGTTACAGAGTTTGCATTTCAGGGGTTATGCAAGATATAGAAGGAAGAATTGCAGCTGTTTATATTCTGCCCCCCAACTTTGATAGCCATTGGTATTGTTTGGTTACCTTGGATGGAATAGCTCCGTCTTTGAACATACAGACCTGAGATCTCAGGAACTGGGATAGCCCATCTAATCCAACCCTCATGGCCTTCTTGAGCCCAGCTTCCCTCTTCAAACAAAAATTTCCAACAGCAAGTCGGTTGTTCCTCTCACACAACCATAGAATCAAAATTCAGTTGCTTCCTTGGCTGGTAATCTCAAAACCAGCGTTTGCCTTATTTTTTTTTCCTATATGATTTCTGAATGCAAATGCAAAGAGCAAACTGGCAAGACACATTTCTGGGGGAGAGGGGCACAACTGCACTCAATAGGAATGAGGTATTCTTTCTCCTATGAGGTTCTCTAAGAGCAGGGTCATCTGTAGTGAGAGATGGGGAGTAAGCATGGACAACAGGGCTAGTAATTCAGATGCATCACAAAGAATTGTCCTTGCTCTCTTGACAACAGGAGACATGGTCTATGATCACCAATGGCTGCCTGTAGTCAAGCCCTTGGATAAGTACCAGACTCTATAATGGCATTGCCCATCTTCTTGGTAACTAAGCACCAATGTACACTATGATGGAATATTTTCAATATGAGGTGTTGTAGCAAAATCAGTGTGAGCTCTGCTCCCCTGTTTCCTGGAGAGCTCAGTTCCTGCCACATAGCTTAGGACAGATGCTCAGCCCCTGTTGTTTTGTTTTGTTTCCTTTCTTATTGAATGGAGAATGCTTGCACCCTCACTCAGCAGAAGCAAGCCACTGTTTTAGAACATGTATGAGTTACTAACATCACTACTTTCATACTTGTGGACCATTTTTAAGTAAATAGGAATTGCTTCCACACATGGACTACAATTCTGTGATGGTAGATCTGATCACAAGAAGGCTACTCGGTAGTAGGCAAGTAGCATATAGAGCATGGACACCTTGCACAAAGAAGTCATCCACTTCCCAGGCAGGGTGGCACAGGACAGCAATGCTGACCATGCTGCTCAGAATAGTTTGAAATATAAAAATTGTGAATTACTTGTTTATAGAATTTTTCACTTGCTGATTTTTTTTCAATCTATTCATGAAGTCATAGAAAAGCAAAACCATGGGTAAGGGGTAGAGGGACTATAATCTGTAGAAGTAAAAAGCACTTTGTAGCCAGACACTCCTGGGTTCAAATGTCCACTAGCCGTGTGACCCTGATCAAGTTACATCACCTTTCTGTATCTTTGTTTTTCCATCCACAATATGAGATTAATAACAGTTCCTAACCCTAGGATGAGGGAAACAAATGCATTTTTTAGTTCAACGCGTGTCTCTTAATAAAATGTATAATAGTCATGGTTACTGTTTCGGCTGTACTGCCTAATTTGCACTTGGAATATATACCAATATTCGAAGTGATTTACTCTAATTTGGATTCACAGCCAACTTTGTAGGATTGGTACTACTACCCCATTTTGCAGACGAGAAAACAGAACGTGCCCAAGACCACACAGATAAAAAGTGGCCAGAACGATAAGCATTCAAAAATAACAGGAAGTCCATATTATTATTAATTACTCATAAAGGAGAGGATTTCATTCTCTGGTTACAACGGGCCCTTAACTAGTCTCCCTCAAAGAAAAAGAGCGCCACCTAGGGGCCAGGTACATAGAGTCATAACTGTCTACACAACCCTAACACAGATCTTCAGGCGCTCTTCCCTCTTCCCCAGGTCCTACTCTCGCTCTCCCAGCTATTCTTCCAAGTCTGGCAAGAGGAGCCCGCCTAGCAGAAGCTCTAGGTCTCGTCGCAGTCCCAGCTATTCCCGCTACAGCCCTAGCAGGTACTGTCCTTCCCCCAACCACCAGGATGGGCCCTGCCTCCTGGGCCACATCCCTTGCAGAACTGTAGCAATCTTCGAAGCCCTGCCCAATCCTTAGCCCCGGAGAGGTTGGGACGGGAATTCATGCAATCCTTTCTGTCCACTCAAGAGTGGCAACAAGGACCCCCATACACCCTTTCACGCCCAGGTGCTCCATCTTCTTGTACACTTGTTCTTCCTCTTGTCCCTGCATTCACAACCCCAATTCTTGCCCACTCACTCTAGGGCCTTCTGCTATTTTCCTTCTCACCCACCAACGCAGAGGTTACCATTCTTGCTAATGCCCAGCTTGCCCCACGATGTTCTCCTAATGAGATTCTATCCAAAGTGGGTCAGATTCCCTGTCTTCTTTGGGAGCCTTGGCAAAGGGCAGTCTCAGTGGGGTGGCGGAGACAGTTAAGAGTATCACACAGCAAGCACCTGCAGAAAAACCTGCCTAGCCCTAGTTACCAAGCAACCTCCCACCCCTGCTGCTGCAGGGATTCCAAGTACGGTGAGAAGGAATTGCAGCCCCGAGAACGTGCACGCAGGAGGCGACGGTCCTACTCACCCATGAGGAAGCGCCGGAGAGACTCCCCAAGCCACCTGGAGGCGCGAAGGATAACCAGGTGAGACCCCCAAAGCAATCCGCGTGCTTCTGAACTTCTCCACATCGCCACATCTTCCTATGCGGACCTCGGGGCTGAAACTGGGACTAAAGGATTGTGAGGGCTCTGGGATGCCCCTTCCAACCCTTAAAATGATGTGGTTTTTGTTTTGTTTAGTTTTTTGTTTGTTTTAACAAAAACTACCCTAGTATGGAATCTTATCAACTTCTCAATTTGCTAGGTTGCGGTCAGGAAGGGACTCAGGGAAAGACAATGGACCAATCTGAGGAGTAGCGTGCAGCCTTGGGGGTGTCCTGGAGGCTAGGAAACCAGCTAGTGCTGGTAAGCTAAGAAAAGAGGGTTCTAAAAAAGGGGGGCCCAGACCACCATAGGGCAGGGTGGTCTGGTGGTGAAGTCCCTCTTCTACGGAAGTAGTCCTGCAGCCTAGCCCACTTTGATGTCAGGTTACAATTAAACTGTTTGTGGTTATCTAAACCAACTTCAGATAGAACAAACGATCTTACTGGGATTGCCAAGGGCTTCAGTGAAACCATTGGTGAATGAAGAAGACCTGTTTCCCCAGGGAACCTGGAGTCTTTTCCCCTCTTCTGGACTGTTTTCTCACCCACAAGACAGGGCATAACTCCCAGGAGTGTCATGCGGAGGAGATGAAAGGGGATGAAAAGATGTGACCTCACCTTGTAAATTTAAACACGGGACACACTGTGTTTTATCATTATTGGCTGAATAGTCAGACTGGGTAGAGGGTGTGACCTGTGGCAGCTAAGGTATCTGAGGAGAAAAGCTGATGGGAGAGAGGGCTAAGGCTGTGAGAGAAACTGAATTTCTCAGGTCGCAAAAGCTGGGGAAATGGCCGAATGTGCCCTGCCCCCGAGAAAAAAAAAACTAGGTTGTCTTTCCAGACATCCCGCTCATTCAAGAGACCCACATGGGAAGGAATTCTGGAAGTCAATTATATCCCTCCTGCAGAGGATCAGGAGGCAAGACAAGAACAGGAGACTCCAGGGTGATGGATGGGGTTGCCTGGTCACGTGGTCCACAGTGCTCTCTCCCCAGCATCTGAGCATCCACAGTCATGGATGTGTTTCATTTCCTTAAAATTCAATATGCCCTTTCCCACAGTCCCCCTCCCCATAGGCACACTCCATACACTTATTTCAAAAAAAGAAACGATGTACTACAATAAATGGAAAATCCAGCCATTCCCTCCTAGAAATAGAACCTACTAGAAATAGGGGTTTCTAGTAAAAGTAAAAATAGAAAAATAAAACTTCAATTAAAGTGTTGATGCAAATACTGTGTGCTGCCAGCTGGTAACTCTGAGCCCAGGAATGATTGGTTGGTTTTTTTTTTAAAGTGACATTATCGCTTTTTCAGGATAGAACAGTACTAAGCCAGGCTTTTTCTTTGGTCTCGGAATTATGAGAGGAGAAGAAATGGAGGAATTTGTTGTGGTTTTGTTGGGGTTTGGAGTTTTTCTAATTTTTTTTTTTTGTCCCTAAGAAACTGGGGGGATGGGAGGACGTTGCTTTTTCTGGAGCACTGGTGCTCCCTGAGAGCTGAGCCCTCACCACATCCTATCTCTGATCTCTACAGTGCCCGCAAACGCCCCATCCCTTACTACCGACCCAGCCCCTCCTCATCCAGCAGCCTCAGCAGCACCTCCTCCTGGTACAGCAGCAGCAGCAGCCGCTCTGCCAGCCGCAGTTACTCCCGGAGCCGGAGTCCCAGCCGGAGCCGCAGCAGGAGCCAGACCAGGAGCAGGACACGGACCAGCCGCAGCTCCAGCTCTCGCAGCCTCAGCCTGGGCTCCCGGAGCCGCAGTCGGAGTCGGAGCCTGAGCTACAGCTCAGCAGAAAGCTATGCCAGCACGAGGCGCTAAGCAAGGGCCCTCCTTTGAGCCAGCTGCCCACCGGGACGACCCCTCTGTACTCTGCCTGTGTCCTTACTACCTGCTCTTCATGCCAGCTCCCTGGTGACAGATACGAAGGCTTTCTGGCTCATGTCTTCTGTGCGTTCCTGGGAAGGTGGGACGGGATACAGGGACTCTTGTTCCTTTGCCAAGTTGCTAGTAGCCTCTACCAGCATCATCCTGAGGGTCAGCTGGGCCGACGGAGAAGGCCACCTGTGGAAAGCTACCATCCATGACTCAAAAGTTTAAGCTTGGCCAAGACACGCGGTGACATGTTCCACCCATCCACTGCTCACAGGCTGTATACTGGAGGCCAGGGTCGATCCATCCCTCACCCCGACCTCCTTCTCCCCTCCTTCAGTCTCATGGCTGCACAGTTTGGATCCCAGTGTTGGAAAGAGAGGAGACCAAGGGTGAAGTCCAAGAAAATAGCTCAGGGCTTTTCTCCTCCCAACATGGGCAAAGGCTGGGAGCTCCTGAGTCCTTCAGGGAGAAAGCGGACATCAGCAGGGAAGGTAGATGTGGGTTAAGATTGGACATGGCATCTGTAGTTATTCCAAGCAGCAAAGAGTAAGGTAATTTGCCCCCTAGTATGTCAGCCTGGTCAGGGAAGGGACTGCAGCGGGTTCCAGCTTTGTGGAGACCATTACATAGGGCCCTGTGACCCCATAACGATAAGAAGATGATGGAACAGTCAGCATACCTTGGGCCACAGCCCTATTCCCCAAATTCACCTCCTCCCCAGTAGCTGGCACCAACGTGATTCCACGGGACCATCTGCTGAGCCTTCCCGCTGCTGTGGCTAGCAGCCAGCCTCCAGCGCCAGCCAGTCTGCCCTTGCCCTCCAGTTGGCGCCTGACAGCCCCCTCCACATTGCCCAGACGGCCACACCCTGGATTCTACCCAGGGCAGGCTGACACCTACCATCTCACATGGAGACCATTCTCTTTGCCTCTCAGGAATTTTCTCAAGACGGGGACACTGCATGTAGCTCAATATTGTGGGGAAAGACGGAAATCCAGAGAACCTGTTGATAGAGGGACTTGAGGGGTCCCTGGCTCGGGGCTCCTGCTGGCTTCTGAGTTTGCTGTCAGCTTAGGAAAGTTGAGTGGTTGCTGCTGCCCTCGCTCTGCCTTCCTCCTCCCTAGGGCAAGGGCAAGCTGCCCTCTGACACACAAACACCATCAGCTGCTTTGTCTGCAGGAGACATTGGGAACAGGCAGGCCAGGGAGATGGTCCTTAAAATAAACCCCCGGGCATCCCCCTCACCAGCTGCCTGGCTTTCCAGAGTCTAGGAGGTGTTAAGTTTGTGGTGGCAACAGCTGAGGGCCAGGGCACATGGAGAAAGAGGTTCTCCCCCCAACTTCGGACACTGGAACACGATGGCTGCCACGACCCAGCATTGTTCATCCCGCTTGCTCCAAGGAAAACATCTGGGGGGAGGGGTCCCATCTTAAAAGCAATGATCGATCCATGCCAATCTTTCCCAACCTATCAGCCTAGGGGTCCAGCGAGCGCCAGGGAAGTTCGTTATCTGGTAGGCAAGGAGGAGCACCTGTGGCCATACTGGCCTTCCTACCATGGCTTCCAGCCCAGACCAAAACTCCACCCACCAAGACTCAAGGATGCCTAAGCTGACGCCACAGAAGGCCGGATAGCAGGTGCCTGGCACAGGAGTCGGTGCCCCCGGAGGGCATGTACAGCAACTGTAAATAACCCTCATCCCTGCCAGGTTGCCAACCCCGAAGATGAGGCTTCCAGGAGCCACCGAACCTCCTCAGCAGGACAGCTTGTGAAGGCATGAGAGCCTCTCTCGAAGACACAGACTATCTTCATTCAAACCCCTCTAGGGGACCATTTTGCCCAGGGCTCCTAGCAAGCTTTATATTTATTTATTTATTTATATTTATTTATTATTTATGTGTTGAGCTCTTCTTTCTCACCATTAGCAGTATTTATTTATTTATTTATTCAGAGAGATTGTGTGTCAAGATATGTGATCATGTGTATGTGTTTGGTGGGATGGTCTTCTAAATTATTTGTGCTTTAAAAAAAAAATATATCCTGTGGCTATGGCTGCAGTTGGAGAGGTCAGAGGAATCTTGGTCTTTCCCATGAATGTTTTAAGCCCTGAACATTCTGGAACTGACCGGGAAATATACGAGTCCCAAGGTTCATTATTCAGCTTGCTGCCAGTGAGGTGCAGGTCTGTGCCTCGGCTCTTCAGACGCATGCTGCACCACTCCTGTATCTGAAGGATGAGGTCAGCCACAGAGTCCATGAGCCTAAATCCAAGGCCGGGGCCTGACGTTAGAATGTAGCTACGCAAACGTGAAAGAGTCAGGAAATCTTTGGCTAACTGCTTAGAGTCAGAATGCCGTGTCTCGGCCAGTCTTCAGAGACATCAGTGGCACGCATCAGAGAGCCCTTACCTCGTGGTTGGGAAACCCTGTGGTAAGAAGGGTTCAATACTAACTAGCATGGCTCTTGGAGACAAGGTGTCAATTTGACGAGGTTTGATTGATGCTCACAGTGGGAGAGAAAGGCAGGACAAACCCAGGGAAGACATGGTGATCTTCCTGATATCAGCGAAAGGCACCTGCTTCTCCTCCTGCTATCTAATTCCCCTCCCCCAGCTTTGGAGGTTGGAAAACGTGCCTGTATCGTCTGCAGTAGACAAACACTGTCTTGTGAAGAGGGCAGGGGCCATCCTGGGTGACACCCAAACACCCAAAGCAAATGCCCTTTTCCTGTGTTCCATTTGGGGTGGCACAAAACAACTTCCAAAATTAGACAATAAAGTACAGATGGAGGGGACAGCCAGACGTCCCCAGAAAGGTCATTTCTAAGCTTATTCTGGGAGCTAGGTCCTGAAGACCTTTATCAATTCTTCCTTCCTAACCAACTGGCAGTGATTCTGGCTGCAGGCTACAGCGAGCTCTTGCCCTTTCTGTGGTCATTCTCCATGGACTTTCAAGGTCAGCTTGCCTGGCCCAGTTGTGGATTTAGTAAAACTTTCGCTATATCCCCGACTCTTTAATATGGCTGTCATATTCTAACCCAAGCAAGGTGTCATTCTTCCCTTGGAAACAATTGTCAGAAGCTGGTTTAGATACCTGTAAGGTTAGGTGCACTGCGCTCCTCCTCCTTTTCCTCCTTCTCCTCCTCCTCTTCCTCCTCTTCCTTCTCCTCCATCTGTCTTGCCCATTCCTTTTCTCCCCTATACTGCTTTGCTTTCCCAGCAAACATGGATCTCCTTCCAGGACACTGCTAACCTTGGCTAACTAGAACCATGGAACCCTGGTCTATCTATCCACCTTACCCTCTTTACTTTCCATTTCTGGGGAATAACTCCACTTGGAAGCAATCCATAGTCGTGTTTGTACAGTGGATTGTCACACTGTGTTGTGGAGACTGCTCACAGTGAAGGTGTAATTCACCCACCAACATCCAAAATGGGTGAGAGTGTAGGCTGAGGTTAAGCAACATGCTGCCAAAGCACCTTGACCTTCCCGCTGTGGCCGTGCTCCTCGTGAGTGCAATAGGGCTAATTATCACCTTACTGCAGACCAGGGTTCCCACTTAGTGAGGTGGGGTAGTTGGCCTGAGGCCCAAGGGAGCCAACAAATACAATGAGTTCCACTGAGACTCGAGAAGGAAAGGGGTTTGAAGTGCTATAAGGAGATTCCTAGGAATAGCTAAAAATAGCACCCGAATCCCTGCTGGGTGGCTAGAAAGTTGACTAACCCCATCCATGTTCACCAAAGTTGGACTTCATTCCAGGCTCTCTTTGAGACCTCCTTGGAAGGCGACTCAGCTTTTCTGGAGCAGAATAAAATGGAGATAGATGTTGGGAAGGAGTTTGGGTCTCAGCCTCAGAGAGCCCCTATTCTTACATTTCTCAGCCCCGTTCTCTTTCCCAGAAGGGTTTGCTTAAAGAAGAACAAGTGTGGGGTGCTTCCAAAGGTGGAAAAAGCAATGAGCTATGTCTTTCTCAAGGTCAGCTTCCAACTTTTCTGCCATATTTCTTCTTCTTTGGTGCTGGGGGTGGAACCCAAGTGCTCCTGCACGCTCATCAAGTGCTCCTGCACACTCATCAAGTGCTCCCGCACGCTCATCAAGTGCTCCCGCACGCTCATCAAATGCTCGTGCACACTTGTCGAGTGCTCGTGCACACTTGTCAAGTATTCTAGCAAATGGGTCACACCCTCAGCCCTGTGCTAGGTTCCCTTTGCCCCTTCTCTTCTGTGTGTATCCCAAATGGTCTCATGGGCATGTATCTGTCACTTTGGTTTCCTTTCTGATGGGGAGAAAATTTGATTTGATATTAAAATGGCACATGCCCCCCTCCTCCGCTAGCCAGCCCACCAGAGGCTTGGGCCAGACACAATGTCACTGCACAACACTTTAAAGAACTCTATCCCTTCTCCGTTCTGCACTGATGAGCCAATGGCATTGACACCATGATCACCAACCCTCTGCAACTTCTTTTTCTGTTTGTGTATTTGGGTTTTGTTGTTCCTCCCTGTTTTCATTTTGTGAGTTGATTTTTGGCTTTATTCCTTTCTTGTTTGGTGGTTGTCATTTTGCATTGTAAATACCATGATGTGAGGCTATCCTTGGAACATGACTTATTTAATAATTTATTATTTCCTATTTATTGAGTGGTATTGGGAAGGGAGGGGAGCCAGCCCTCCCCTTGGATTGCTACTGGAAACCATCTATCTCTCAGCTCTGGGTGCTGCTGTCTGTTGTGGGGGAATTATCACCCAGGCAATGAATGCTGGAGTCACCAGAGAATTGGAACCGGCAGAAACAGAGGCCCCCATCATACAAATTAAGCCCAAATGGAGCTAAAACGCTGGTTATCTCCAGAAAACCTCATTTAGATGGAAATTAATTGAAGAACTCAAATGCCTGTACACGAACCAACTTCTATTAAAAAGTCACAACTGAAAAAAATTCAGAGAGAATCTTTTTTTTTTTCCAGCCACGTAATATTATGTCTCCTTTATTAACAGGCTGAGCCAGAGAGAAAGCAATGGTACACCTTTGTGGTTTTCTTTCCTTTGGGGGTAGAAGCAGTGGGTCTTGGGCCTCAGTGGGCTGTGCAACAGGACTTGGCCAGGGCCAGGATGTTCTGGGGAGGACAAATGGGAGAACGCTGCTCTGGTGCTCTGAACTCCATTTTGATGGGTACTGGGGCTGTATCTTTTGCTGGAAGGATATCAACCAAGGAAGGAAGAAGAATGATGGTGGGCTTGATGCAAGGGTTGGAATAGCTGAGATGTGGGACACATCAAGGGATCCTGAGATGAACTCAAACTCTCCAAGTCCAGTGTCCCTGGAGTCCTGATGGGGAAAACAAGCTGTCTTAGCCATGTCCTGAATCTAACTGTTGTCCATTGCCAAGTCATGTCTTATAGGATTATTCTGTTAAGCTGGTGACAAAGGTCGTATTGTTAGTTTTCAGATAAAGCTGAGGCCCGTGGAAGGGAACTGTTACTCCCAACTCCTAGAAATGGTGTCTGCCTGACTCTGTGTCCCTTTCTTCCTCAGTGGATCCTTTCCAAGGGTCCTAAATTATGAGGACTCTACACTGTGCCTTTCTCCCCAGGTGAAGTTATTTCCTCAAGTGGTCACTGGCGAAGGGCCTAGCTGATTCTGCCACACTGGCTCAAAGGAGTTGGCGCATCTCAGGGCATCTCTACACTGGGGGCTGGGATTCCCATCTGAAAAATCCCAAAGCAGAGGATCACCAAGTAGCCCAGCTCAACCTGACCATCTAACATCTGCACAGAATGTCTGCATTAGAGAGAGAGAAGCTGCTGTGTCCTTTCCCCAGGATTACAAAGGGCCACAGCCTACCCAGGGTTTCCAGGGTTTCAGTCTGCAGGATTCACATCTATGTTCTCGTTAAAGGTTCATGGTATCATGTTCTCATATGTGACCTTGTATCTTCTGTGAGAAGGAAGATGGAGTGTTAAGAAGTTCTCATGGCCCAGCTGCTGTGACACACACACACACACTCACACACACACACACACACTCTCACACACACTCACACACACTCATACACACACTCACACACACACTCACACACACACACACTCACACACACACACACTCACACACACACTCACACACACTCACACACACACACTCACACACACTCACACACACACACTCACACACACACTCACACACACTCACACTCACACACACACTCACACACACACTCACACACACTCTCACACACACACTCACACACACACACTCACACACACACTCACACACACACTCACACACACACACACTCACACACACTCACACACACACACTCACACACACTCACACACACTCACACACTCACACACACACTCACACACACACTCACACACACACACTCACACACACACTCACACACACACTCACACACACTCACACACACTCACACACACTCACACACACACTCACACACACACTCACACACACTCACACACACACACTCACACACACACTCACACACACACACACACACACTCACACACACACACTCACACACACACACACACACACACACACTCGGCTCAGTGCGTCGATTCAGTTTCTCAAACAGACCTGCAAACACTTGAGCTCTGCCCTTGTGTAAGGTCGTGTGTGGTAAGTGTGTTCACACATATGCAGAGGCTATGTCATTTTTTGGGTGCTGTTCAAATGAGACAGTCTCTCGCTGCCCTGCTGGCCTAGCGAGCCTCCGGGATTATTAGCCGGTCTCCAGCTCCCCCAGGGCTAGGGTGACACCTGTGGGACACCAGGCCAAGCCTTGGGGTCAAATTTACTTCCTCACGTTTGTGAGCCAAATGCTTTATCAACTGAGCCATCTACCCAGCCTGGGTTTTAGTCGCATCTATGGGTTCCCTCAGAAAACCTATTCCAGGTCATCTCATTGTAAGCCATCCCTGAAACCCCAACATTAGACTTCCTTCCTCACAAGATGGAAACTGAAGCCTAGAAAAACAAAGCAACTTGCCCAAGAGACACAGTACCCAGAATCAAGGACACAATTCAGATAAGCTGACTCAGAACCACAGGCTGCCAATTCTCCTCTATAGTGCCAGAATTTGTAAATATCTAACCTCATAAACTGAGTTGCTTTTGTCGTGACACTTTCATGTTATGACAAAGATTTTAGATCCTAAATACCTAGGGTCTTTCTACTACAAGCTATACAGCATTGGACAAGGTTCACAGCCTTTGAATGACTGATTTGCTGATCTGTAGAATGGGTTCGCAGCAGCCACCTCCCTTAGCTGCTACGGGAACAAAATGAGACTTTCCATTCCTTAAATACATGAAAAGGGAAGAGCATTCAACTGATGCTAAGGAGCAAAGTTAGATTTTCAGTACTGAGTCTGAGGTGTGGTAGTAGGAGTCCTGGGGTCAGCCCAACAGAGCTGACTTGGAACACAGGGGTTTTCTGGAAAGGTTCCCAGGGCAAACTTTAACATCTCTCCCCATTCAGGGCAGGTGGGAAGTACTTAGGGGATAAGTGGGAGTGGGCGGGACTGGCTGTGGGGACGTGGGGAGCACAATACACAATTTCCAGGCGAGAATCTCGGCTCAGCGTTGCCACAATCCTCCAGTTTTCAAGGGTGTCTACTTTTTAGGTTAAAAATCTTGTATTTTAAAGTGTTCATAGCATCATTTTTTTCAAATATCATGTGAGTCACTATTATACAAGGATACACCCAGACACCCATGCACATTCACACACAACCGTTCACACACACACTCATTCACACACACACACTCACACGCATGCTCATTCACACAGACACCCACACACAATTGTTCACACACACACTCACACACACACTCATTCACACACACACACTCATACACACTCATTCACACACACACACACTCACACACACACACTCATACACACACACTCACACACACACACACACACAACCAGCTATGTGCACCACTCATCCTGTGTCTTGCCCAATGAAAAGCTGCCTTGGAAACCATGAGTCTGGGTGACCTCTCTTAGGTAAAGCTGTGGCTAGTCACCACCCCCTCCCACACACTGATTTCATTCTTTCTAAATAGGCTGGTTGTGAAGGCATACCCAGCATCCTTTTCTGAGGCTCTCTGGTGACCAGGACATTAAGACACATCAATGAGTTAATAGTCACGTACCCTTTACCCACACTGGAGCCTCACTTTCGGGGTGCTCCATTTGACAGTTAAGCTAGGGGCAAGTTGGCACAGGTCTGAGGGATTTCCTTTCATTTTTCATCCTGAGTGTATAAGCCCTGTCAATGGAGAGCCAGTCCCCCACCTGCAAAGGGTTCCAATAAGATGACTTCTCAGAAAGTGTGGCTTTTTAGGAGGCTGTCCTGTGACTAATTTCGTCACCTCTCCATGACTCACGGAGAGGCCTTCACCTTTTAATCTCCGGCACAGATTCCCAGTTATGGGGAAATCACATGTTTGTTTATCCAGCCACTGGTCTGGGCAGGAGCCCCACTCCCATCGCACTAGTCCCAACTGTCCTGGCTGCAGAGGAAAGCAACCTGCTTTCTGTGGATGCTCTGTCCTTACCAGATTGGCAGCTGCTCAAGAATGGAGCAGAGACAGCATGCATCCAGCCCTCCTGCTTCTGATGACCCGTGGCTGCCTGCAGCCTCTCTGCTGGGCAGAACCAATGAAACAATTCAAGGCGTGGGAGGAATGTTGGAAAATAAAACTTCCTAAGAGATGGAATCCAGACTCCTGCCCCTAGCTTGCAGCATGACCATTTAAGCAAATCAAGCCCTTTTCTAGAACCCTCCACTCAACCTATTAAAAGGAGTGAGTGGATTAGACCAGAGTCTCAATCATGACTGAGTATTAAAATTGCCATGACCTATACAAAACACCCATGTTTGACCCACCCCAAACAATAGGTATGCTTTAGGAGAATGCCAGGCATCCGTGCCTCTGCAAGCCTCCCTATGCTCTTCTGGGATTAAGCTAGGGTGGGAAACACTGAAGATAACTACCCACAATGCTATTCAGAGCCCAGGGTGGAAGACACACTTAAATCATGGTGACCATAAAGCCATAAGATCACCCAGCACCTTCACGGTGCCAATCAAGGGCCAGGCAGGTTTCTGGGAGCTCCACTGATGTTAATGTAAGTTACCCACATATTTATCTCCATGGCATCCGCAGGAGATGCTGCGTTAGCATCGATGTCATGGTTGAAGAAACTGGGGCACAAATGGTTGCTCCAGGTCTCACTGGTGGTAAACTATGTGGCTAGCTTTGAGGATGGGAAAAGGCAGAGAGTAACTACACCTTAGAGGGCCAAGCAAGCCATCATAGGGGTGAAGAAAGCGCCCTCTAGCAAGATGCTGGACAAGGAGTAGATATTAGCCAAGAACAGAACTGAAGCTAAGGGAGGATTCAGGACAACTGTATGCATGGAATGGGGGCAAGGCAGTGATTGCAGCTGCCTGAAGTCAGTTCCCCACCCTGACCTCCAGTAGCCACCCCTTCCTTCCTGCTCTTTCCTGAGTACTAACTGCTACCCTACTACCCATAATTGCTTCTCTTGTTAGTTTAATGCCCCTTTCTGATGACAGGAGCCTTCTCTGCTTCATTCATTCCCTGTCCCTGCAGGGACACTATACCTAGTATGTAACTGACTGCCAAGTGATTGGATTTGCTCAGGGCTGCCAGCTCTGCTCCCTCCCAAAGCCTGGTCATTTTGGAGCTGGTTAACGTGTATTTAATAAATTGGTGTGTGTGTGTGTGTGTGTGTGTGTGTGTGTGTGTGTGAAAACTGCAGCAAGGTAGTGACATTTCCCCAGAGCAATGTCAATGATCTCTCATGACATGCCCTGAGAGAGAGAGAAAAGGGAACACAGACGGCAGGGCATATGTGAACA